AGCAGGAGCAGAGTTGTCTTGGCCAGCGGCGGCTACTTTCTGCGATACAGGCAGCATTAGCATGAAACGGCGCCCGAAGCTGACACTGCGGCTCAGCAACTGTAGCAGAACTAGCAGGAAACGGCAAGCATTGGGGAGCAGTGATATTCTAGCCCAGGCTTTTTTCATGGGAGAAGGGGGCCAACAGCCAGTGGAGACCCTTGAAGACATTTCATCGGACAGCTTGGGAACAGGTACAGCAACAGGCACAAAGCCAGCAATGTTTGTCGCTGCAGGACATACGGGCGAGGAAGAAACGCCCGCGTGTAAGATCACAGGAACACAGGCAGAGGCGACCCTTGCTGTAGCAGAATCAGCGGCAGCAGCAGCAGCAGCAGCGACAGCGGCTCAGGACAACGCTGCATGCGTGTTGGAATTGATGTGCCGCGTGGGGCAGCTGCCTGAATGGCTGGAGGTGCACGAAGTCCTTGCCGGGTAGGGCTTGGCTGCAGGTATCCTATTGTCGCCCCTGGCGATGGAGCATCATAGCAGCTGTTGCATCGAAGCCCAAGACTGTATGCTGCCTGGTGCGGGGACAGGGTTCTCACTGTTTGTCCTGTTTTGCTCAGACTGCAGCATTGTGGCTTCGCACGCCATACTCTAACCCGGTGCTGCAGAAACTGGGCTGCTGGCGAGAACAGGAATAGCAATAGCAGAACCCACAACTACTTAGAGACTGAGCTGTGGCTGCAGCAACAAACTGTCCGCATCCAGCCCATGGGACCCTTGACAGAAATTTTAGGAGATGCCGCAGGTGGCAGTTGCCCTGTCTCCGTATCGGTGCTGCGTTTTGTCACACTCAGCAACTCTGCTGCTGCTGCCGTTATTCCCGTACTGCTGCACCTGAGGCTTCATGAAGCAGATGCAGCAGCTGCAGTCCTAGCAACAAAGGGAGAGTATCTTGTTGCACCATGCATCCAGCTAGCAGCAGCATCGGCAGCAGCAGCAGGAGATACAGGGGATCCGACAACACTTTCACCCACCCTTGGTACCGCTGCTTCGAATGATAGGGCAGAGTCAAATTCGCGTTGCTGCTGCTCTGACATTCACGGTTGGCAACAGAATAGAGGGTCTTTGATTACTGGACGCCGTCTTTTTAGCTTGGAGCGCCAGATTATCAGGTGCGGATTGATGTTACTGTCTTTTCACTACGAGAAGACGTGTGCCGGAGCAGCGGGTGCCGCTTTTCCCTCTGCCTTGAGCCGAACACGCTTGCAAGTAGTTGTGTGGCATAGAATTCCTGTTTGCAGTGGATTTTGAGGCTCTGAGAAACTGATGACTGGCGCTGTTGCTGCGGCGGTTTATGTCAGGAGCCTTCCCAGGCGCCTTATGGAGGAGCTGCAGCAGGAGAGGCAAAAACATGAGTTACATACAAGGCTCCTCTCTGGTGAACGATGGAGGCAGGGACTCAGGAGTTCCCTCGCACATGCACTGGGGAAAAGACTTGTGGAGCTGTTGCTGCGGGCGGCTGTATCAGCGGATATACAGGCTAACTGCAACCGCAGCACCAGCAACGGCACCCACAAGAGCGGCAGGAATGAATGCCTGTCTGAAGAGCTCAAGTTCATTGAGGTATGCTACTGCGTTGGCTTTATTCACCATGTCAGCACGTGCTCTTGACGCGAATGCATTTTCAGAGGGGGCCGCTGCTGCTGCCGCACAAGCGCACTGCTGCTGCCAACAGGCGCTCAGCTTACAGCTCCATGAATCTATGGAATTTGTTGCTCCGGCTGCGTCTTCTTCTGCAGGACCTTAATCTGTGGGTAGCGGCCCTGCCCACGGAGCTGTTGATTCCTCTGCAGCAACCGCATCATCAGCGGCAGCGCATGCTCCGGCTTCCTGCTTTCGATGTTCTTTTCTTACACGCGGAGCCTTTGGGTCTCGTTACTCTTTCGAGGCCCCCTGCCACTAGCAGCTGCACGGCTTCTCGAATGGAAAGGGACGCCACTGCTGCTAGTGATTCTGTGAATAAGGTTGATGTTGGACACTGCCACAGCACAGACGGGTGCCACCCAGGGTTGAATCCCATTGGGCGTATCGGGCGTCTAAAAGTACAAGCGCACCAGAAAACAGCATGTTGGGACTTGCATGTCGACAAAACGTGTAGAAATCACGACAGTGACTGCTGTTGGTGCTGTTGCTTAATGAAGGATGCCGCAGTGCAGCTTAATGCTACTCCATTGCAAGTGGCGCTGTGCTTAGGGTGAGCCTTCCCCACAGCTTACACAGCTTACATATGCAGTTCATTCTTCATGTGCTTAGCCCTGCGAGTTGGATCAGCAGTGTCTAAACGTGGGAGGGAAACATGCGCATAGCTTGTTGGGCACTTTGACAGACGAACTGCTGCCAGTCTGCTGTTTGATATATATTTTCTTGAAGTACAAATGCGCCCCTGTGGTTGACGGGTGCATACTTGACTAAATTCCGCGTTGCTATAAACTAACTTATGCGCAACCAAGGCATTACCAGGTTTTCGCAGGTTGATGCCCTGTGGAAACGTAGCGTTGCCGACTTGAAGGCCTGCCGCCAGTAGGGGCTAGGTTACTACACCACATGACTACTACAGCGTGACTGAGAAATGTATCAAGAGCATAGATAGTAATCGGAGAAAACGTCATAAAGTGCGTGGCATAAAGGCCGCTTAAGTCGCCGACCTATCATAGGTTTGTTGGAGACAGCAGCGGTCCCTTGGAAAGACCACTAAGAGGTCCGTTTTGGGGCTGCGTTGTGGGCTAGTGCTGACCACACAATGTCTGTCATTAATCTGTGCATAGGAAAGCGTGCCACAAAGGCAGCGGAGCACTTACTGCGAAAACCTGGAAGCGTTGAATGTTGAGTCAGGGACGTTTTCACCAATATCGGGGCACAAACACTGCTGTAGCAGCTGCGGGGCATATGCCTCCACTAGAGCATGGCATGACGAAAGTGAGAGGTGTCACAGCCGCTGCCACACGAAGAAGCTGGTAACGTGAGAACCGTGCTCGATATAGCAGAAACGCAGTCTACGTAGAGGGCTTCAATAAGGCGATACTGTCGTGCGCTGGACCTGCCCAAACGATACAAGCGCGAACACGGACTGGAGGAATAAAGCATGGGACGCTCGTACATTTCTCCGTTACTTGGCGTGCAGTCCTTACTGAACAGGTTGCAGCAAATCGGTGGCAAGGGTTCCCCCTGAAGCACTCCGATGACTTTTGATAAGACAAACCATAAAAATCACGTATCAGCAAGACTTTTGGTAAAGAATCCGCGAGGGTCAGCCCACAGTGCAGTTCACGTTCACATTGCTATTCATACTTACGTATACCGCAGCGCCACACGAATTCTCAAAGCACTAAATTAAGAAGTAAATCTGTTGCATATCGCGCAAACTGTGTTCATTGCAACCACACACGCTCCATTCTTGACATAATTTATACTGCATTCTCACACTAAGCGTGGGCACTTGAGTAGGTCGCCTCCGGTGATTGACAAGGTTGGCGCTTTGAAGCTTTTTTTTATAAGTAAAAAGAGGCTTGAAAGGCTTCAAAGCGCCAACCTTGTCACTCACCCAAGGCAACCCACTCAAGTGCCCACGAACATGGATGTTATGGGCGAACATTGACAGTGGTTGCAACGGCATTAATAGCACTCCTCCAATCTTGGCGCTTATTATTGCTCGATGCCCAATAAGTACTGGGGAGGAACGTACGAGAAGACGCCTCTTACCTCGGCAACCCAGACAGAGCATCTGCGTGAAGGGTAGAGACAAATCCTGTCTTTCCTTATATTCTCTACAAACTTCGGTGGCAAAGCAATTGTTCTAAAGCCTGTAGTTGTTTAACAGAGGAGTGGTTCTGAAGCTGGGCGCTTCATCTTGGTGCGCTCCTTGCTGAGTTGAGGGGCAAGCCCTCCAGAGCCTGCAGCAATGCAACAGGACAATAGCGATGGTAGTATGGAAATAGTTGTGAAGCACGGTACAGCTCCCATAGAGCCACAGTAGCAAGTGCTCCGAGCAGTCCAAGACCATGTGTTTCTGGACAAGCTAGTTTCGTCCATCGGGCAAGCAGCAACAAAAGCTAAGTGTTCTAGTACTGAAGAAATCAATTTGCGTGACATACATATAAGCCAGGGCAACAATGGTTAGGCCAGCATCTACCCACCAGCCAGGTGGATAATTACATTGCAGAATAACGCCGCGTCTGGCTGACACCAGGAAGAAAGAATTGCCCGCCCATGAGTTCCTATATAAGGACCTTCCAGAAATTGCGAACAGTTGCTTTTATCAATAGCTCCCGATGGGGCTGACAAAGAGGTGTGAACACCGGCCAATACGAAATCGGGGTTGGTAACACAACGCAGTGGTCCATCGACCGGTGCAGTACTAAACTGCGTTGCTCATATTTTTACGTATGCTGTTCATATTTACAATTACGAGCCATTAAGTGTTTAAGTATTTTGAGCGTTTTCTGGTCTATCACGTCCTTAATTGCTGCATCATGGCAGGTGTGCTTTTCCTCCTGTGGATCCACGCAACTCGAATGGGTCAATCAACTCCCTGTGGGGCATCGGCGCCTGCTTGTTTCCATTTCACTCATCAACAGGAAAAGTTTGGAGGGTTTTCTAGACAAAAAATTGCTGAACCCACGCGAACGTTTCATTGTGATTCGGGGGTTTCCTTCATCATGCAGACCTCGGCCCACACGCGCTGCGTCTTCGCTCATTTGTGCTCATGGTTTGGGCGGATATGGATGCTTCTGTAGTATGTATACGTGATCGTATCTACAAGTGAAGAATTCAGGCTATCAACAGCGCATCGTAGTGCTTTTGCTGCCCACTTTTGGCTACCCTGTGGGCCAAGCTATCTTCGTGCGGTTAGGCTTCAATGCGTTGTTGGATCTCCGCCCTGAGTTTTTTCCCCCCACAGTATATCAAAGTCTTTGACACCAAGCAGGCGCCTTGGATGGAAATATACGTCCAAAATGCAAGACGCAATGCAAATCCGGAGTCTTGCTGCTGCAGCTTCGGATAAGGCTTACGGTGAAGCTGAAGTTATGCAGATGAGGGACAATAAGAACTATGAAAACAAGGTGGCTGATACAAAAGGGATGCTTCGGTCCCGGAAAAAAGGAAGCGTGCACATTGCCTTGTGGACTGCACTGGTATTCCTGTTCGCTTGTGGTGTTTTGGGGGCTTCGCAATACTTTGTGAAGAGAAACGCGCTTATTAATGCAGTGCACTTGTTCATTCGTGAGGGAAAACCAGATACGCCTTCTGTACAGTACCCTTCTACTTCACCATGGCTCCTTTTGAAGGACGGCGACGGGCCGCCCGAGCAAGGCCCCCCCCATTTGTTGCTGGACGATGCGGGGAAGGTTGAGCATGTACATATGGCAGTGAGGATGCCAAGTTCGCAGAATCTCGCTGCACATGACACTGTTCCTGCACAATTTGTAGCGCAGAGCCCTGTGAAATGGCTTGAAAGGTCACAAGGTGCAAAGGAAGGGCGGGAGATGCAGCCATTAGCTTCATTGATGCCAGTTTCAGCACGAGATATTCCCAATACCGGATCACCCAGCCCGCGTGTTCCTTCTTCAAAACCTGAGGTTTTGAGGTCTGAACGACCGCAAGTGGCAGAGGGGATACGAACAGTGCAGCCCACAGCTTCAGCTTCATATCCAGCAGAGCCTGGCACGCTTCCCACACAAAATGTCTCTCCCTTCGATCCAAAATTGCTGGACCAAGAGAAGCTTGCCTCCGCAACACAAAAAGGGAAGGATGTTGTATACTTCGCGGCAGAGTTGGCGGCGCATTATTTTTCTGCAAAGCCTGCTGAGGAAGCCTTCAGTGCCACTAACCGAGGAATGGCAGAAGCTGTAGGTGCGGTACTCTCGCATGGGGCCACACGAGGATTGGTAGGCACTTGTATCCGCTTTTCTGACGTTGTTTCTGCCCCAGAGTATGCCAAACGGCAGATGGAGATCGTCCGCATTATTAAATTTGAACATAGCAGCATATTTGTAGCAGTTAGAGATGTACGCACGTATGCAGTGCTAACTGTCCGCATCCGCGTATTTGATACACTGCGTAGCTCTCCAAACAGGACGACGGCTGTGGTGGAGGAAATGAAAGCAACGGCTCTTGCTCATGGAGGTACAGATATGGCCCTGGCGACGAGTCACAGTGGACTCTTGGTGCCTCTGTTTACAGCGAGCTTGGAGGGGCTGGCTGCAGAAACTGTGTGTGGTAATTACGTAGTTTTGAAGGATGCAGAAGCTTATGAGGAGCTCGTGGGAGACCTAGAGAGGACGTTATCCGCTCTGCGTGCGCCTGGACTCGATGCCAATTTAGGCATTAACTATGTAGCAAGAACGCTCGTTATCGAAACGCTTAACTTGCAGAGGTTAGGCGTTAGTCACAACCGCCTAGAATGGGCTAATCTGTTTGTAAACACCCACGGCACTGTACTTTTGGGGGGGTTGGATGCGGCTACCCGTTTCGGAGACAGCCTACCTCTCTCCGCGAGGATAAACCCACGTTTTGTTGAGCCACAGCTAATGGCGGACTTAAAAAATTCTGAAAGTAGCGGATTCGCTGCCAAGGTTCATGAGAAGTGCGACTTGTGGAGCTTAGGGGTTCTCTTATACGAGCTCTTCAGCGGCAGCCAATTTAGGGATATTTTGAGCCTTCAGGAGACAGGCACCAACGTTGTAGCACTAGAGCTGCGGAACAGTAGGGCAAGCGCGAAGTGGCAACAGTTGGTCATCCGGCTGATTGAACCAAGCAGAGCCAAGCGCATTTCTTCTGAGGATATCGTGCGTGAATTCGGGGACCTTTTACAACTGGACGACATTTGAAGTGGGAGGTACACCATGAAGACTGGGCCTCGGCGACTCGTGCTCCAATTGAAGCTGCAAAGTGGCATGATACTTTCGCTTGGCGAGGAAGAGGCACAGCCCCCATAGCTGGAGTTTGGTTCCGCCGTTCCAAAGTCCTTCCGCTTAAAGGTTGGCGCTCGTTCCGCCCCAAGGCGCAAACGTGCAAGTCCTGCTGCTTCACGCAGGCTAGTGAAAATTGAAATTCCTGTAACAGCAGCACATCCGTAAATAGCACAAATATTCGTATAACCATTTTTGTCCCTTTGGGGGACTGTCCCGGGGCAAAGCTCCTCGTTGCACTTCGGCTGATGTACAGTGGAGTGATGTAGTGTCTGTAGGTGGCTTTTGGAAGAATATAGCAAGTTGATGCTGTCCAGTTCTTCGTTGAGGGCATCCGTTTCACGTCTTAACTTGGTCCCCTAAGTAGGCCGTTTTACACAGCGCTTACTTCGTTTTACAAAGCGTGAGGATGCACAGGTTGCCCCATGCACAATCGCATGCTACTGAATTCTTTGCATGCAACTGTATGGATGACGCTTTTTGCAGCTAGCCCCGCACACAATCGCAAGTGTAGTTGAGGTCCGCGGTGCATGCATATACTTTTTCACGTGTCATGCCTTGCCTGCAGTCTGTGGCCCAGCTGGATGGGACGCACTAGCCTTGCTCTTCCTTTAATGGGCAGGATAGGGGTAAGTGGTCAAAAGCTTTGTGCTTTAGTTATTTGCTCGCGACCTCTGGTTTGCTCTTGATCTTTGCTTCGCCTTAAGCGCGTCTGGGAAGAAGAGCACTGGACGTGTTCTGGGCTCTTTTGGTGCGGTTGTGAGTGACTGCCAACAGATAAGCAAGGGTTAACTAGTTCGTTGATTAAAAGTGCAAGTTATGTGCAATGTACGGGAGCCCCGGAGATGACTGGAGGTGGGGAAACCTTCTTGCTACCCAGTGTGCAGATCAGCAGCGGCAGAAATGTTTACTGGCTAAAGTAGAGATATGAGCTAAATAATGCTTAGGAAAAACTGTGATAAGAGGAAAAAGAACGGGGACACTGAAACAAGTGGCTCACAAAACAGCCCGTTCATTGCAGTAAGAGCCTCTACATTGCAGGACGAGATCACATGTAGCGCAGCTCAAGGTAGGTCCTTGTCGAGGTCCCCTTGCTCGTCCATGGCAAAATGTCTATTTCTAGGTCACACATTGTAGAGCCCACAACTAAATCACAGAGTAGGTGTTTTTACTGAAATCAGGAATGCAAAGGCCTCTATGAGGCCTGCGCGAGCTCCTTGCGCGACTGGATCGACGCTAGGAATCCGTTTTTGCATGAAGTGCGCGAAATAGGAAGACCATACGACTTCCCCTGTAAAACTATCAATTTGCATTTCTTTTGGGCTAGAGTGAACACTACAACACCAGCGCGTGACGGATGCGAATTCAGGAAAACATAGGTAGTGCTACTGGCGCGGTTGGCTGCGGGAACGAGCACTGCCTGTCTAGCATTCCTCTCACGTTGATGTTATGATGGGTCCGAGCTCCTTTGCTCCATATTTTCCCCATCAAAGCTGTTTTTCGGAAAGCAAAAAAAGGGTACCGTTTTGGGACTTATATGGTTTCTATACAGTAGGCGTTCTTACGGTTGGGTGCTGTTGCCACAGCACCCACTGCGCCCAAGCGGGATTGTGTATGCCTGTCGGTGCACGAGCTCTACGAAGTAATGCACAATCTTCGGCCTCAATGGAGTAGTGTGAAGAAGTGCTGTTTTCGCCGACAGGCATAAAGGGATCGAGGCGGCAGGGCTGCCGCTTGCAATGGGCCCCTCTGGCTCTGCTTGCAACTAGGCTTAGGCTGAACTAAGTCTATTTTTGCTGGAAAAGTCCTCCAGCTGTCCCCTGCGTCTGCTTTCACTAAGGTTTTTAACGCGACAAAATGCCCTTGCACTTTGAAACGCTCTTGAAGGGGGGCAAGGCACTGTGGGGTGATGACTCAGTTGTAGCTGTGGAGCAGCCTGGAGAGTCGAGCCCTGCAACTGCAACAGGTGAAACGCCCGTGCACGCTGCGGGTAGCTCGGCCACACGCCCGAGTAATCGCTACAAGCACAGGCGAGCCGCCAGCTGGGCCATACTTAGTACGGTGCTGGCCCTAACAGTCTTCGGAGCAGCACGGCCTCTTGTCACGAAAATGGCGACATCGCGGCAGAAAATAAGGGATAAGGGATCCCTCGTCCACCATTTGCTGAGGGCATCAGAGGAAGACCAGCACAAGGGACAGCGACAAGCATTGCTGTTCCCCTCACGCACTGACCCGGCGCACTTCGCCAGTTATGAGCAAGGAGGCGAACCCTCCGAGTTCTCCAGTCCTCAAGAAGAAGAAAGTGGAGGAAGTGAAGTATATGAGGTCTCTAGCCCTGAAGAGGAGAAAAAAAATTTTCAGCCTCCAGCCTGGACGTCCGTTGACCATGGGGAAAGGATACCGTCCGTGGATGAGCCTGAGGGTAACACTCCTGTAAAGACGCTGCGCGCGCAAAAAACTGTTGCGGGGGTTGCCGAGGCACTGATTAAGAGTTCTGCTCAGCGGCCCCTTGAAGCTATTCTTACCCCTGCGCAGTTGCGGATGGCAGAAGCCGTGGCGGAAACGCTATCAGGAGGAGCCACGCGAAACCTTATCGGCTTGAAGATTCACCTCAGCAACTTGCTGCCTCTGGGACAGCCCGTCGTTCCCGGCGAGTTCAAATCCCCCCTGAAGATCACGCGCATTGTGGGCTCTGGAGCGTCTAGCCTTCTTGTTGAAGCTGAGGACATGGCAGCGGGCAGATATGTCACCCTCCGCATGCATGTGTGCGCAGCAAAGGAAAGCCAGCTGCTCTCCGTGGAGGCAGCGAACTTGTGGGTAGACCAGGCTATAGAGACAAGGGGCTTTGTTCTCGCCTGCGCAGGAACCCCAGCGGTGCTGGCTGCAAACCTGCGGGGCCTCCTCGTGGCAGACCACGTAGGCAACCTAGGTAATTTACCACCTACTGAGTCTAAGAGCACAACTATGGTGTTTCAGCGTGTGGATCTATACGGAAGGTTGCTAACTGACCTTAGGGGCGTTGTCTTTGCTTTGCAAGCACCTTTGTGGGAGATTGCGCAAGCCAAGGAATACATCGCGCGTCGCCTTCTTCTCCAGACGTTGCATTTGCACGAGGCTGGAGTAAGCCACAACAGCCTCACGTGGAGCAACTTTTTCCTTAACGAGGATGGGGAGTTTTATCTGGCTGGAATGGATGCGGCAGTGAGAATTGGGGAACGGCTGCATTCGCGAGCGCAGTTAGAAGTTCGTTACACCGAACCACAGCTCTTGTCCCACTACAAGAAGTCCATGACGGAGGGTGCGGCTGTTTTTCCACATGAGAAGAGTGACATGTGGAGTCTAGGAGTCCTTCTCTATGAGCTATTTACTGGTGAAGCATTCAGCAAACGACTCAGAAACGAACTCGTTAATGGCGAAGTCTCCAATTCCGAACTAGCGAGCCGCTTGGAGCAGACAAGCGCCACCCCCAGGTGGCAGCAACTCACCCTCGAATTGCTCCAACCAGAGAGAGAAGATCGCATTTCAGCTGAAGAGATCTTTAATTATTACGGGGACCTCTTTCAGAAATACTAAGGGTAAACAAGCCCGTTTGCTCCAGGCAGAACACAGAACAGGGACGCCGCTCTCCCCAATCGCTGCACAGGCGTCGTCATCCATAATAACTACACGACGGACTTCCCTACAGGTATTAGCGCGGCGGAAATAAGGTGGAAAAATGGACACTTGGAGCGTTTGCTTTAGTTTCGCACTGTTTCTGCCTGCGACATACCTTGCCCTATCTGGGTCCCACAAGAAAGGACCGCAACGTTTTTCCGAAGTTGTTCGTGAAGGACTACGGCTTCAGGGCTGTTCATGTCGTAGACTGAAATCATGATTAAGGTAAAATGCACAGCAAAAAGGCCAGTGGTGTATCTCGTTCAGTTTCGAGCCTGTCGCAGACAGGTCTCTTCGTGGAGAGCTGGCCTGTGCACGGGATTCTGCACTGCTCGGCATATTTCTTAGGAGTACCGTTAAAGGTGCATGCATCAGTTCTTACTGTTCGGGTTTGGGCTGTTTATCTAGCCGGAGGATTTTGCTGGCTGTTTCGCCTCGACTAAAAATGGTTGGCGAGTCGGCTGGTCCAAGCCATACCCGACGTGCCAATGCATTTTCAGCGAGTCGCAGCAACGCCCGGCGTTTCATGTAGTATAAACATAAATTTGGATGGATAGAAACTGAAGATAATTTTTTTTTTAACTAGAGAGGGAAACGAGTATATGGCAGCAGTTGCTAAGAGGCACCTCTAGTGGTCTAGCCGACTCTCCCACTAGCGCGGTGGTCAGCCTGATACAGCTTAGAAGCTGAGGCAACGGCCCATTTCTTTCTCCAGCTTGAAACATTTAATTTGTGTGAACCATTTGATATTTATCAGTTACCTGACAATAGTTTTGGGCTTTTCGTGCGCAATACATGTTAACAGACAGTGAATAACCATCTCACCCTTGAGGTCTCATTCGCCAACTGGTCCCTTCCCTCGTTCCTCCTGACAACCGAGTGAAGGCATTTTCAAAACTCCGTAAGAATTTGAGGGCATTCCAGCACTATTATACATGAAAATCTTGAGTCTACATGCCACGTTTCGGAACTTCTAGCCGGCATCGGCTCGTCGAAGTGGTGTTCTGCGGACAGTAAACGACTAGCCGTGCAATTTCACTTATCTCGAGTGGAACTGAACTAGGTATCGTGTGGATTGCTGTGCTGAATTTTTAGGCCAAAATGGATTCCAGTAATTCTCTACAGAGTAAGCTGGAATGTCCTGGGGAGCGACGGAATGCAGGCCTCAGAGTGGTGACCTTGGTGTATGCTGCTCTGTCCATATATCTACTGACACAAACTGCGCATCCGGCGGGTGCTGGAAAATATCCCACTGCGCTTTCTCTGATTACGGCCACTAACGCCTTCGCCCTCATAGGCAGCATCTTTGGCTTCCTCGTGACTCTGCCCGCGTGCATGCAGAAGACGCTGGGGAGCCTGACAGTCTTATGCTTTACGGTCTCTTTCTTTCTTGGGGTAGCTTCTATGATATCAGTCATCTTCAGCTACTTCAGCGTCTACTGGATCGTCTTCACTTGCGTGCACATCTTCTTTTCAATGGTGGCCGTGGGTGCTTCCTACGCACATTTCAGGGGACTCGCCAGCCAGGAAAAGCTTGAGGAGACAGTTCCTATAGCTGCGTCGCTCCCCCAAGTCACAGAGTCTGTTTAACCACTGGCCAACACAACTGTCAAGCAATAAAGGGCAGGTAGTGCGTGAGGACCCTTCCCATTAGGAGAGCCACGAAGCCGTGACTTCCGGAGGCCGCGATTTCTCGTGCTGCGAAATCGTACCGGAACATGCTTGCCTTTGTGCTTGTTTGAAAACATGTAGCCAGGCAAGCATATATACAGCATCAATCAATGCGTGAAGCCTCGTACAGTGCGCAAACGTTTTAATAAGTCGAGAGATGATGTTTTTACTACGTGGACTCCAAGCATTTGTTCTTGGTTGGACGCAAGAGGGAAGCCGTACTTTTCCTAGGGGCTGTTCCTCACCTTGAGCGGATTTTCCATCGGGCACAGTTAATACTGAAGCCCTGAGGGTGAAGAACCTCAAGTGGCTTCCTTTTGTTTTCTGAATTTTGCAATGAAAAAGCCAATGGTTTGTCCTGATGGGCAGAAGCGTTGCACGGGTACTTTGTTTTGAGGTGGCTGTGCACCTGGGAAGTAGGGCTCTGGAGGTTCTACCGTCAGTGGCAGATTTTCGAGGGCCCAAAGGACGTTCTCCTCATTTTCTGCCCAGCTAATAGAACATGTAGAGTACACCAAAACACCTCCTGGCTTCAAAAGGGCGCACCCTGCGGCTAGAAACTCCCGCTGGTACCGGGCGGCCTCCCTCACGGAGTGCATGTCCACGTCGTCGTAGACAATGCGTGGCCTGAGGCCAAGTCCCGTGCAAGGCACATCTGCCAAGACTTTATCAAAGCGGTCCTTGAGCTGAGTAGGCCCTCCGAGAGAACACTGCCACTTGTTCTTGGCGCTATCCCCGTGAATGCACTCGACAGCAGATGCACCAAGAGAAGCCAAGTGCGCCTTCATCTCTTCCATTCTCTTCTTACTCCTTTCTACGGCCACTACTACTCCTTTATTCTTCATCAGAGACGCAAGGTGAGAGGTTTTGTGCCCAGGAGCGGCACACATGTCTAACACCAGCTCCCCTGGAAGAGGAGATAAAACGAACCCCGCAACGCACGAGGGCAACTGCTGCGCTACTACAGAAGCAGGCAGTGACGATAGGTCGCAAGCGCTGCGAAGCACACACAGTCACACTGCAGTATCAATATGTGCCTGGAGATAGCCATCTGCAGCAGGCCACTTCCCCCCTCTCTTCCACGTACATAACGGGGATGTGGGGATGGCGATTGGCCGTCATCACCAGCCACCACATCACAAGATCTGAGCTCGAGCTGAGAGCGTGTGCAAATAACCCATAAATGCTTGGATACATTCAAAACAAGGCCTGCGAGCATCCAAGCATGCATGCATGCAGGCGCTGCAAGTTACATTGCACCGTCACGGGAGACTTCGGCCTATCTACGCGAATGAGCTCTCTAGACTTTCGTCTATGCAAACAAAGCGAGACCTGCACGAGATGCGCGCCCCACATGTGCATACCTTTGCATTCTAATGGCCAGACCCTTGCTGTGAAGGAAAACATCTTTGAGCGATTGCGCCAGCGTGCCTCTTCCGCAGAAAACACCCCACTTTTCTACCTCGTTCCTTCTCTCTCCATCTAAATATGCGCCCCTCAGGAACGCAAGCGAACGCATGCACGTGGCCGCGCAGCCTGGTGTGTTCTTGCTAGGCCTAGGAATAGCCCACACCGACACCACAGAGCCCAGCCTGCTGCCAGGCTCAGCTGCAAGGACTCCCGGGGCATATACGTGAGCACCTCGAAGTACAGCCTGCCCGCACTGGGGGCCTACAACCACCATTATGGAGTTGTTTTGCCGGCAGGGGGCTCCCATATCCTCAGTCACCTTCTTGGGGTTTCCCCCTACCTCGTCTTCCGCAGCTAGTTCCTGCGTATCTGGGAATTCCAAGTTGAGAAATGAACAACGTTTGGGGGGAACTTCAGGGGCTTGTTTTGGGGGGAATATGAGGATGTCTGGGAACTGGGGGTGTACGTGACCCTTCATTCCAATGCATTGCTCAGCCTCTGCAAGTGCAACTGAGCTGTCTGTACAGTTAATTCGGTTAACTCTCAAGCTTCTGGTTGGTGCGGGGACAAGGAGATTGTCGATGAATGAATCAAACGAAGAAGCTGCTTCGGGAGAGTAGGGACACTGAAGCTCCAGGTGATTGTAAACCTCAGGACACAGGAGGTCCCTTACACCAAAGAAGCCGCTCTTCCTTGTTTTCTCCATTTGAACATACTCTGCAAGGCGGTTCAAGACGAGAAGAAAGAGTGAAAGGTGCGAGCGCAGGAGGAAACAGAAGCTAACAAGCATGAAAAAGTGAATGAACGGAAAAACAGGCCCACAGCGACACCCCGTGCACCCTCCCTCATCTTGTCATACGCCATGAAAAGCTAGCGGATCCTGTTCTCCATCACAGACCTTAAGTAAGGCAATTACGAGTAATCATTCCAGTTTGAGGCAAATCGAAGGGACTTCTTCTGTATACCGCTCACTGCGAAAGAGGGCGATCCAGTGAGATGGCGGGCTCGCAGTGTGGACCCTCTCATGCACAGTGCTTGAACAAATGAAAGAGCCTGGAACAAAAAACAGTAAGAACGTACTTCGCCGCCGCAGGCACTCGATGCTAGTCAAGAGGGCACACCTGGGCCAGATAAATGGAACCAAAGTGAGCAAAGTGGGAAACTCTGTATATCATCCCTCAGGATATTTCAGGTTTTTCCAAACTAAATATGCAAGCAGCCTGTCCAGCATGCCTCAGTTCTTAATTAATTTGGTGGCAGCGTGGGGCGCCTGCTGTAGCAGCTGTAGCAGCTGAGCCGACGTGCACTACGGTCAGTTGGGCTCCATGTCTCCATTAAGATTGACAAGATATGGCTTTGACTCTGCCCATTTCATTAATTTCTCATGAAGTTTCCATCGTAGGAGCAGAGGAAACAAGCATTGTGTGCCGACCTGAACCACTGTTGCGCCTCAGGGGGCCCCCCGTGGTCTCCTTCTCCAAGCTCTCCTGCCTTGGCTTCGTCCCGTCATTGGAGTGTCCGTGTCTGGAAATAAGTAGGGAAATGTCATCGCTCTCTGAAAGCCCCCAGTACTACCCCAACTTAACACACACGAGCGGCGAGGGACCCCCATCACTTTCCACTCGCGCAAAGGAGGCAAGCAGCAGACTCCGCGGTTCGCGTGTGTGTCATCCAAATGCATCCTTTTCTCAGTCACCTTCTTCTGGAGCATCCACGGGGGGCCCCTCTGGGCGCCTTTCCGCAGGCTTCTCCGGGGCTCCCTCTGCGAGTGAGGGCCACCTGGGCCATCTGCTGTACTCAATCGCTCTAGCGCGGAATGACAGGTCTCGGGTGTCTGCGCTATTGACTCTGGAGGCTAATTGTGTGTCGCTTCTTTCGGACACACAACGGCTACATGCGGCCTTCACTGCCTTGGACGCTATTGTTTGCAATGCCGTGCCGTTCACCCTTAAGACGGGGGGCTCAAGAAGGAAGACTTCTCAGGGAGGGGGAGTCTCAGCAAAGCCAGCAACAAATGCAGCGAATGCGGGCCCGCAAAAAAAGGAGGACTCAAGAGGAACCCGCACCGCAAGCAGCAGCTCATATGAGCTGCAAGGGGGCCCCCCAAGCGGCCCCGTCGGGCAGCCAGTGGCGGGGAATGGCATAAGTAGCTCTCAGGCGAGAGAAGTAGCAGAAACGGCAGCAGCAGAAGCACAAGTCGCAGGAGCAACAGCAGCACCAGAAGCGGCAGGCTTGGCTGCAGCTGCGACCCCAGCAGCAAGGCCAGACCTTCTTGCGCTTCCCCAGCGATGGCAGCCGCAGCAGAAGCAAAGGGAAGAAGAGCTTGTCATTCCCGGTCCCGAGTCGCCAGAAGCTGCTAGTCCAGGGCGCCCACTCACCTGCAGCAGCGACTCAGTGGCATCTGCTTCTCCTCCTGAGCCGCCCTCTCCCCCTTCGGATATTCCCAGCAGCAGCAGCAGCAGCAGTATGAACAACACCAAGAGCTTAACAGCTAGTCGCCCTCCGTGCCCGCCTCGAGTCTCCTCGTCCGAGTCTTACGTGGTGGTTCGCCGCCCCTTTTCAGTGCTGTCTCGTCTGCTGTCCCTGCAGGTCTGGGTCTCCATGGCAGTGACCCTTGACTGCTTCCTCGTCGCCCCCAAGTGGCTGCAGCGCCTTGTCGGGCTGCTGCATGCGCTCGCCAGGAGCGGCGGGACCGCGGCGGACCAGCCCATCCGAGCGACTGCTTGCAGCTGCTTGGAGGAGCTGGAGCTGTCTCACCCAGGTGACCTTCGCAGCACGCACAAGGTGGTGGGGGGCGTCGGGACTTCTGCTGGGAGTCCCAGGAGAAGGTTAATGCTAGGGGATTATGGCTAGAGGCGCCGCTAATGAAGCGGAATTTAGCGCCTTGAGCAAGCAGGGGTTGGCAGCAGCAAGTTAAGCCGTGTGCAAGTATAACTGCGAGGTTAAAAGGGAAGAGAGATGAACTGAGAGTTAGGTTCGGCCCATGAACTTCATCTGGTGCTGCAGTGTCTCTACGGTTCCTGGCTGCGGCTGCTGCGGCGTCTGATTACCTCTTTGCAGGGCTGCTGTTTCCTCTGTTGGGGCCGGAGGGGTTGGAGGGTCCTCTCGGCGCTTCTGCTGCGGGCACTTTCGAGCTCTGCCCCTCAGTTTCCCTCTGGGGGCCCCAGGGGCCCCCTAAGGGGCCCCTCTTCCTTGTGGATCTTCTCCAGAGGGAAGCGCAGCTCGGGGGAGAGGCTTGTGCCGTTCTGTTGCTGCGCTGCATGCGCCACCTCTGTGAAAATGTAATTTGTGAGGGACAGATCACAAGGGAAGAGACGCAGGAGGAATACACAGAGGGCACAGGCCGTGCTGAAGGGAAAGGGCCTTCTGAAGGGCCTTCTGCGCATTTGGACATCAGCCCTGCAGGCAGCGCGGACCTCAGCAGCAGGGGTGTGAGTGGGGACCAGCAAATGCTCAAATTCAGTCTGGAGCCTGACACCAAGGGGACACACACAGGAAGGCCTCCAGGAGGACCTTTAGGACACGCACGAACAAAGGGAGGAGAAATTCCGCAGATGGATCTGCATTACAAAAGTATGACGCACTCATGATGGACCCTAAGTCTCAAAGCTTCAGAAACTGCGGGCACAGCTGCTGGGCTACGGGAATTAGTGGCACCAACTGCTTCCTCAGGAGCAGCATCAGCAGCAGCAGCAATAGAAGAAGCAACAGCAGCAGCAAGTGCAGCATTTGAGGAGCCCCGATTTTGTGCATCCTGCGTTTGCCTTCAGTCCCTTCGATCGGCGTATCCCCCGTGCCTCTTCCCTCCATTACTCTCAGCAGCAGCAGAGGCAACACCAGCTCGAGGCCACCGCGGCTGGTGCGGTCTTTGACTCTCTTCTTAAAGAAGGCGCTTGCTTTAGTCCTGGAGGGGCTGTGGGGCTACGGGGATTGGGCGCAGGCGTCCGTATGCATGCAGCTTGCCTTCTTCTCTCGGTAGGGCCTTGAAGCGTTTATTAATAAGGGAATACCTGCTCAAAGCAGGAAGGGGTGGAGGTAGTTACTGTTGTTGGGGCTTTCTCCCTGCCTCTTCATACGCAAGCCCAGAGAGTCATGGAGAATTGACTTTTGCGTGGTGCGTCTTATTGTGTTTCTTTTGTTTGTCTCGCGTGTGCAGCCTTCTCTGCCTACCTGCCTTTTCATCAGTTAATGTCTTGCTGCCGTTTCTCTTCTCATCTCGTCTACACCTCATCCATGCGTGGGCACTCCTCGTTGAGGCCCTGGGGCCCCCATCCACGGGCTCCGGCCAGTGCCCCCAAAGGGCGCGGTGCCCATTCACCAAAGCAGTTGGGCCCCACGCAGTTCTCCTGGAAGAGAGACTCAGGGGCCTACTGCAAGACCAAACGCTTAGCCCACACGATCGCGTTCTGTGCATCAGGTAGAACTAAACCGATTCCCTACACCCTGTAAATACTTGGTACTCGCTTGAAGCCTCTGGAGTTAACGGTTTAGATTTCATGATTTGGAGTGTGTTTGCAGGTGGTACATGGCTTTAATGCAGCATCCTGATTTTTCAGCGGCATTTTCTTCGGCCTCCCCGTCCGTATTTTGCCCGTCAGCAGCTGACCCGCCTTCTGTGAAGGAGCACCTGCTGCAAGCTTTGCTGCTGCGCTGCAGCAGCCGCAGCAGCACCAGAAAGGGCTCGCCAGCAAACCTATACGATGTCTGTGGAGTCATGTACGAGTTCAGATGCGTCCGAAAAGCCCCGGAAATTCATGCTGTAGTTTTTAGGTTCCTGCTAAGGAGCGTTCTCATGCCTCATCTCTACAGCCCTCAGTTGCAGGCGTTTCTCTGCGAGCACCTCAGGTAACCACACAAAGTCAAAGGGCTCCTTAAAGGCCATTGCGTCTTCAGAGGCACTAGTGGTATTGTCGTCTGGGGGGTCTCGCAGGCCTGTAATTGCCTTGTAGCCTAGAGGTGCCCGCAGACGCCTTGTTGGAACCACAAGCGCCCGGCTGACCTTATGATTCCACAGAGATGGATACACTCTGGAAAGAGCGATCTGGAAGCTTGAGTAACTGATCCTGCTGCATCTGCTCGTGTTTCTATTGCGGCGAAATGATCCCTTAAAGTAAGAACAGCAACATGGGAAACTGAAATGCTGCGTTGGTTGTGGTGTTGCTGTCGGCGGTTCCAGGTGCCACCCTGTAGAGCTCGGGCCAAGCGTATTGCTGCTGCTACACCATGCCTCCCGCGCTGCTGCAGCTACTGCTGCAGCTGCGTACAAGGGGCCCCGTCTCAGCGGCCGGTGTTTGTGGACTATCACGCTTTCTTCAGTCTGCGAGTCTCTGTTGCTTCCTCTTGTATACTTTCTGGAGACCATTGAGCCCCCCGAGGACTTAGTTTGTTTTTCTCCCTTGATTTTTGAGCTATCGGTCTACCCCATCATTCCGCCCCAGCGACTTTTGCCCCTCCTCAGACGCCTGAGTCTTACAGCTACCGCAGCAGATAAAGGAGACAGTTCCCGCAGCTGGCATGCTGCCCTTTGTGTCCTCGCGGTGACTAAACAGGTGCATTTACGAACGAAATACAGGAGGCGCCTATAGAGAGCATAAGGCCTTAAAATCTGGTGTTATTGTGAAGACGGGCTGCATGACATATCCAAAGTGTGAAGGGCAGACACTAATCATTTGACTGCCGACAGAGGCTCCTTGCAAAAGCTTTTTCAGCTGATCATTTGGCTGTCCGTGACAGCTGCTACTGTTTTTGCCGTTGCTGCTGCAGCTGCTGTTGACCCACAGAGGGAGCACTGAAGTTAGAGACGGCGTCGGAGAGTTTCTTCAGACGATCTCCCTGGGCCCTGGGGAATTGGACACCCGGCAAGAAGCTGAGCTTCTGCTGCGAGCACTTAACAACGCCAGCGCCAATGCACTCAGTGAGACGCTGCTGCAGCTGATGCTATTAATGCAGGCCCGAATGTTGATGTTGCAGCCGAGGCTGCAGGAAACAAGCAGTGCGCATATTGCCTTTCAGTTTTTGCCGCTGCTGTGCTGCCGGTGGGACCTTATGCTTTAAATGTTTCGGTTGCTGCTGCTGCAGTGGCGCTGCTGACCCCACAGGGAGGCGAACCAGAGCCACTCGTCGAGCGCTATCTTTCTCATGTCTCCCCGCCGCAGTTCCGGTGAGTACCGTAGCTTAGGAAGCAGGTAGTTTCACACTGCTTGGTACGCCACCGCCTCCCTTCCCCTCCTAGTCTTGTGCCTGTGCTGTTGCCAGTATGCCCCGTGCTGCTGTCAAAGTTGCTGCTGGTGGTGGAGGGACATCATAGGCCCAAAGTGCCCTCACTGTTGCAGTCCTTCAGCGCAGTGGTTTCATTTTATAGAGCCATGCTGGATGTTGCTGGCACCATTGGCTGTGCTGCCGCCACTCGCATTGCTACGGTTGTTACCTGTTAGCTATTGCCTGCTACTGCTTGAACCGGTGTAGCTGATGTTTCTCGTCAAAGCTGCGCTTCTCCTGCACTGGAGATTTAGATTCCTGCTCGTTTCCAGTTTTGTGTCTGCGCGCGAACGGTGCGGCGCTGCACATAAGCTGTAAGCCCTAAACCATGAGCTCTGTTATCAACCGAAGTTATCTCTGTGTTTGCACAGATTTAATGGCTCTGTGCCATTCCTTTCTCTCTGCAAATCCACACGAGAGCGCCGGCTTCTCTGTGGGCTGCTAGACGAGCAATCTGCTTTCTTCCTCACTCCAAAGAGCCCCCCAGGGGGCCTTGAAGGAGGCCTTGCAGAAGCACACGAGGCGCCTACGAACCCTCTTCAGGCAGAGCTTCAGGACTTAGACAAGCAGAAGGCTTGTTTTGAAGCTGTATACAACCAGATGCACGGAGGCCCTGCCATCGAGGTAGTTTTCACTGGCTCAGCGACTCCTGCGGTTGCTGTTCTTGTTGCTTTTGTTTTCATTTAAATCGCCACGTTGGCCCACGCAGTCAGATACTATTCAAAAGCCGATGTCTGTTCGCTGGTCGACGCTGCTGCTGCTTGTATTAGCGCATTTGTATGCTCATGCTTCATGTCTCTCGTGCAGGCGCTGACATACGTCAGGATAACCCCATCTGATAAAGAGGCGCTCCCAACCGGGGTTTGCTGGGGTGGTCCTCGTGAATTGTTACAGGGGCCTTCAGCAGTGGCGGCTTACTACAACTTCTTGGCCTCTCACTCCTTTTCCGTTTGCCTGCCGTTTCGCTTGAGGGCTATAGGAGCACCCCTTTCGGGCGTGCATAAGTCCCTGGACGGAACTGGGGCCTCGGCTGGAGCTGAACTGGGTGGGGCCCCCTCGCTCTCAATTTGGGGCTCTCAGGGATCCTTTAGCCTGAGCGCTCTGTACTCTATTGAGTTGTTCTTCTCTCACTCTCCCCATTACCGTCCGCTCCACAGTGTTTGCATACCTTTCTTGCAAAGCCCTATAGCAGGGCCTGAAGCAGGGCCTGCGGTAGGGTCTCAGGCGGAGGCGTGGAGCCCCCTTACGAAAAATGAAGAGAAGATACTCCAAGAGGCCTCTGAGGATGCATTTCCCTTTAATTACGAAATAATCCTCAAGTATGAGCTGCAGCTGCTGGCACTGCTACTGTTGGCGCTGCTGCCAAGGCTGCCGCTCGCTGTACTTTCTGTTATCTGTTCGCCGTGTCTGCAGTGCGTGTCACTGAAAACCACCGACAGCGAGGCCAGCAGCAGAAAGACTAAATGCGTTCTCGAGTATTCTGATTGTTCGTGCTTTCATTCTGTTTCGTTAGACCACAGATGGTCAGCAGCTGAGGGATTGCGCCTGCTTGCGCTCTGAAGCTTATGTGTTTAGGCTTGAGCCCCTTGAGCCTGTGCCCACCGTCATCTCTGTGGGGGTTCGATTCAGTGATGAAAGAGGCGCCACGTACTCGGGCAGCTTGCCGCCCTTTTCTGTTTCCTTTCAGGACCTTTTCCTGCCGGTCTGCGCATTTGCTGTTTTACTTATTGCTGATGCCGCTGACTGTACGACTCTTTCTGCTGGACGTAGTCTGTGGTTTTCTGTATGTGAGTGACCTTATGTGGGATTTTCTCTTGTAAAGAGTAGCATTCAGTCGCATTCGACGCATCTCTCTGGTCAGCTTGATGGTGGGTTTTTGCGTCTTTCTGCTGCGTGTGTCTCCGGGTCACTGTGGGCACTCAGGTCTGCGCTCCCCCCGAATTCCGTGCCGTTCTTTTTGATGCGATATGGAAGAAGACGGATACTGCTAAATCGGTCAAGGTTCGCACTTTGCGGTGTACAGCCTAGAACGAGCGATTTCGTAGTGCTACTAAGATCTGCTGGCGTGTGCATCAGATTTGGATCCTGCCACTATACCTCACTCTAGGGGTTTCCAGATTGTGTTCCTGGTTGTTTCTGCTCGGAAAGCTGGATTTGGAGCTCTTATGCCTTTACGGTGTGTACAGACGCTTGACTTAAAGAGCACAGTGGTGAAGCAAATGATTGAAATGTCTTTGAGACCCTTTCTAATTGAAGAAGACTTCTCAGTAGAGACAGAAGCCTTCGACTTCTGTCGGGTGCGTTTTCGTGCTTTTACGAAGCGAATGTCTTAGCGGCATCTCTATGCCTTTTTCGCTTGAGGCCTCGTCCTTTTCTTACGACAAGGCACATGCAAGCGACTGCACGCGTGTGGGTGCATGCTGCTCTGCACACACGTAGTGCCCTGGGTTCTAGGGCATAAAAGCTCTGCGTTCAGCCCTTCCACAAGTGCATCGATTGGTTACGTTCGATACATGCGACACTGTAGCCGTAGCCGATGCCTGGTGTCTGCGCATGCAAGCAGGACCAGTACCTACACGAGGACCCGGAACCTCTAGCTGAGGCATGTGAGGCTTCTTCGGCAGCATTTGCATTAGGAGCCCCTCCCCTAGGTGGTGCCACATTAGCAGAAGAGCCGAGTTCGCCGTCCGTGCCGGAGAGCGTTTCTGGCCAAGGGGCTCTTCAGGGGGTAGACTGGCAAGCAGCAGAAGTCTCACAGATGGCAGGTAATGCTGATACTGCTTCATTCGACGTATTCCTGGATGACTATTTCGACGGCCAAGTCCCTTACAGAGATATCCTCAAAGATTCTACAGACACCGAAAGAAGCGTGCAGGGCGGGCTGGATGCCCCCTCTACTGAGGCTTCAGGAATCCCGGTGCAGTCCCCTGCAACTGGGCCGCAACTAGATACAATGCGTGCACTTATCTTCCTCCCTCCGCGCTACCACTTGTTGTTCAAGTTCACTGTTTCCCCCAAAACCACTTTAGTTCGCTGTGCTACAGACAGGTGGGAAGCGCTGGGCTACCTCGACGCCTTCTTCTCGAGTTGCTATGCACTAGCGCTCTCTGCGGGCCACCCTAGGGGGTCCTTGATCAACGGACCACCACTGAAGACTCCGGAAAAGCTAGCCTCCCCTTAAAGGCAAAACCAGTGTGTTTGTTTTCCGATGTATGCGAAGACATGGTAGAAGGGAGCCAACGCCAGCGCAGATACGTAAATGCTAGCAAAGGCAGCTAAGGCTGCCATACTTCCAAGGCACTGCACAAGCGCTCCATTTTCAACCGTTAGTTGCCATTGTAAGGCTGCGAACATGTTAAGTGCGGTTTAGTTCGACACAGATGCCACTGATACTCAATAAATCGGTCCCTAACTACAGAACTTTCACGGTTAGAGTGTCCAATTACCTACTTGGCAGCGTCACTGCCCACAGCCCGCCTCCGAAACGAAGGTTCCCTGGGCTCTCCGTGTCGGGCCCCTGCCAGCCTGTATCGCAAGGTGTTTCGACTCTGGCTGTCAGGCCAACACAGAGCACCATAGGGCGGCAAGTACGGTTTCGTCCACTGGGCCTAGCTGCCCAGCGGCGGCGACGCATACGTGTGCGGGCCCCGTAGGTGCAAACAAAAACGCTCTAGCCAAGTTGTAGTTTATCTGAGCCCGTAACTACGTGCTCCATGGGGGATTCGGCCTTCTGTTGAGGCCTCTGCTCCGCTGGCAGGCTCCTCAGCAGGAAATATTGTGGATTCTCATCTTCATACAGTGGCCGATGAGACTTCAGTTCCCTTAATTCTATGTAAGGTTGCCAATTATGGGACAGACTGGCCCTGAATGTTAAAGAAGGCAACCACGCTTTTAAGACGGGCCAGACGGGCCCGTAAGCACCACTGGACACCATGGAGGAGCACCTGTACGGAGCGGCAGAGGAAGATACTAAGGCGAAACTCAATGTTTCCGCAATTAACAGACCAGCCTAAATGCAGGCCTCTTCAAACGCAGGTCCCAAAAGTGTACTATTACCGCAAACCGACAAACCGCGTATGCTTTCCGCATTGTCCACCGGGCTGCTAGTTGCGCCTGTTGCGTATGTGCACCTCATCAGACGGTCATTAATCCCTCCCAGTCCAGATTTATATAGTTTATCTGTTATTATAGTGCCGAACTGTTTCCTGTAGAGCAGTGAAATATCTAACACCTGGTGTTCAGTTGTTAGACTGCCTGCATGCACGCTGCCTCTTCTTTGTATCCCTTGTTCTTCCCTTGAGATTAAATGTGGGTCCAGTCGACGACTATCCTCTTTTTTTAAGCCTGTGTTAACGGCGTGGACGCCTTCATTGAACTGGGGGAACGGCCGGCACCCCTCAGTTGTACGGACACTTCACAGCTGGTGCTTCCGTTGGTTAGACATTTCTCAGACAAATACTGGTGCACGTTCTGGGCTCCTAGCAATGCCTAGCCCCCCAAGGGAGCGTCAGAGTCCCTCTCGCTCCAGGGGGTCTCACGCGGGCTCGTGCAGGGGAGACCCTGGGGGCCCCATCTGCTGGTCCTCGCCCTCGCCTTCGTCTACCACGGATGGTTCCCGCCGTGGAATCAGTCCTGCAGGAGCTAATGCAGCTCAGCCTGCTACTCAGGGAGCCACCTCAGGTATGCATAGGTTCCCTGCTGACATGGGGGGCCCAAGGGCGGATTCCAGGGGCCCAGCGAGGGGGCCCCAGGGGGGTTTCCCTGCAGAGTCCTACTCCTACGAGGAGCCAACCCGTGCAACCACTCCCCAGGCCAGTGTCAAAGAAGACATGACAAGTACCCTCAACCTCAGGGGACCTCGAAGGGGCAGCCAGGGGCAAGCGGTTTTCTCGCAAGTTGCTGCTGA